GCTCCATAATCCCCTGGAACTTAGTCGACCCTGGAGGGCAAGGGGCAAAAACTGCCCTTTGAGTCCCTCTGACCACGTTAGTACAGGCCTCAAACTATGGCTGTTAAACAGCCACTAAGGTTAGTTCCACCAGTCTGGTACTTCTAATTATCATGTGCTGTGTAGATAAAGCTTGGGCAAAAACCCAAATATTCTCAGATAAACCTTGACTAGACATGTATTTTGTTCCTTAAACTAGTTGACTAAACTATGACCATAGACATTTTAAGATTATGTGTATATTATTTTTGTCTCATCCTTTATATATCATAACAAACCTACACAGACCTTCATCACTTGCTTAGGCTTTCTCATTTTTTCTATTTTGGAAAATATTTTCATATCCTTTTAACATCTTTTACAATCTCATTTTCTTTTTTTGAATAATTAGACATAATAGCATTAACAAATAAATTTTCCATCTGTTGTGAGACTTCTTTTCCTGGGGATACTAAGCAATGCTTATTCCCTTTCAAGGTTCTAGTGTCAAGCCAATGTTTGATTAAAGTTTTACTGGGGAACCAATGAATTTACTGAGCTTACTTACTGAGATAACTGAGGGGTTGCTGAGGTGTATGTATGACCTGAGGGTATGCACACTGGATAGCCTTTACCCAACATGGGTCATGCCTTCTCTTCCTAGCCTTCACCAGATGGTATACTTTAGCCCTCCCCAAATCCAGGGGGCCATGTGTGATGAGGGTCAAATTACATGCAGGTGGCTGGGAAGCGTGGCTGGATAATGCAGTGAGGGTCCACTGACCTTGCTTGGCCCTCCTTTAATGAATGAGCGCAACTGTCAACAAGCCAAATTGTGACGATGTTTAGCGATCAGGCTTAGCTGAAGTCATGATGACGGTAGCGATCAGGCTTAGCTGAAGTCATGATGACGGTAGTTATTTCATGCAGAAGGGACTGCTGTATAGTATCATCTTATTAAAAGGACAGGGAATTTAAAAGGATTTGGTGCTAGGATCGACATATGAGGGAGAACATACGTCATTTGTTTTTCTGAGTCTGTGTTACTTCACTTAGTATAACAGTTTCTAGATCCATCCATTTACCTCCAGATTTCATTATTTCATCTTTCTTTACTGCTGAGTAGAACTCCATTGTGTAAATATACCACATTTTTGTTAACCACTCAGTTGAGGGGCACTTAGGTTGCTTCCATCTCTTAGCTATTGTGGAAAGAGCAGCAACAAACGTGGTTGTACAAGTGTCTCTAAAATAGGATGAGTCCTTTGGGTATGTGCCAAGGAATGGTATAACCAGGTCATATGGTGGGTTTATTTGTAGTTTTTTTAAGTTTTCCATACTGTTTTCCATAGAGGTTGCACGAGTTTGCAATCCCACCAGCAGTGGATGAGCGTTCCCATGGACACAATTTTTTTTTAATGAAACAACTAAACACAAAATAATTGTGAGTGAAAAAGGAAGAAAGTGTGAGGAGTGGGGAGAAGAGAAGGAAGCCATTGACGTGGGGATGGGCATGTTCAAGTTTATAGAGATTTTATTAAATGATCTTGCCTTTGGGGTGCACGAGCCCTGGGCTCTAGGCTCTGCCAGTCAACTCCTGTGTGATCTGCTGTTAGGTCATCTCATCTCTCTAAGCAACAGAGAAAGCTTCCCAAGCCTGTTCATCGTGTTTACATCGTGTGAAGATCAAAAATTAAGTGTGAAAATACCTTGGAGGATTGAAAAAGAACAGCACCCCACACCATGACACGCTGGCATGAAACCCTTGCTATTCTGCAGAGGCCCTTAGGGAAAGTCAGTCTGAAGGGAAACCCATTGCATGAAGCAGCTTATGTGGAGAGCTGAAACGGGACCTGACCCTCCCTACCTCTCATGAGTGTGGTTCCCTGAGGTTTCCAGGAGCCCTCCCCTAGCAAAGTGAGGGGCGAGACCTCATGGTCTCTGAGCCCATATCTCCTGTGTGGAGAGAAGGGATTGTGTAGAACACGAAGAGATTCTTTGGGCTTCTTACCACACTGACGTTCTGAAATCTGTGTGTCTGACCTGGTGTGGTTAGAGAGAAATGTCTCCTCCACACACACCTGCAGCCTCTCGCCTAGGCAGTATCACTCACAGCCTTCCCTCAGGACAGGGGACATGTGTCTTGAGACACACCCCTGTGGCCTCTCCACAGTCTCCCCAGCATGCTTCATGCTAAGCCACAGGGGTCTGGTTCACTCTCTCCTCAAGAAAGGATGCTGGCCTGATGGGGGTAGGGGTGGGGTGGGGGCCTGGGGACCCTGGGCGAGTCTGTGTCACTGGGGCCCATGACACCTGCAGCACCTCAGATGCAGACAGATGTACAAGCAGCTAGACCACTGGGCCACTAGGGGGACCAACCTTGCGCTGGAGTGTAGTGGGCACCCTCAGAGCAGCCTTCCGGGATCAGATCCTGTTCCACCCCTGCCCTGTGGTCCCGGAGAAGTTATGTCTCATCACAGTATCCTCAAATTTAACCTGTGTTTGATAAGCAAAGAACGCTGTAGGATTTTAATGGGGATGAAGGCGTTGAAACAAAAAGCATTTAGAAGCATACCCAAAATGCGTTCCCCACTAGCTACTGTGATCCCAGCCCAGGGTACAGCCCTCAGGGAGAGCAGCTGTGGAGAAGGATGGATGGACGGGCAGCATCCCAAGCCCAGCACAAGCATTGTCCAGCTGCACCACCTCAGGCACTGAACAGACGAGAGGGCAAGAAAGCAGGGAACGCATCCTCAGTGCCCTCACCACTGCGCCCCTCACCGCTGCCCTGTGAATGGCTGCAGAGCACAGAGGGCCCATTCATGTTCTGTGAAAGGACTAGGAAACACATCAAGGTGAAGGGGGCACACAGCTGGCATGTGGCCGGTGCCTCAGTTTCTGTGAGCCCCACCGAGAGCTCTGGATGCTGGAAAGCGGTTCTCTCCCCGCCCTGCCTATGGCTTCCTGCTCTCCTTCCTTTTCTTTTATATCCACAACCAGCAGAATCGTCCCAGCACAGAGCACAGCTGTCCAAAGAGAAATGGAGTGGGAGGGGAGGAGGACAGAGGAGGGAGGAGAGGGAGGGGAGAGGGGAGGAGGAGGAGAGAGGAGGGATAGAGTGGGAGGGGAGGAGGACAGAGGAGGGAGGAGAGGGAGAGGAGAGGGAGGAGGAGGAGAGGGGAAGAGGAGAGGGAGGAGGAGGAGAGAGGAGGGAGGAGAGGGAGGGGAGAGGGGAGGAGGAGGAGAGAGGAGGGAGGAGAGGAAGGGAAGAGGGGAGGAGGAGGAGAGGGGAAGAGGAGAGGGAGGGGAGAGGGGAAGGGGGCAAAGAATTGAGAGGAGGGGAAAGGGGGGGAGCAAGAGAGAGGCACAGGCTGTGTGTGTGGATATGTATGTGTTTGTGTATGTGGATATGTATGTGTGTCTGTGTGTGTGTGGATATGTATGTGTGCCCGTGTGTGTGTACGTGCTTGTGCTTGTGTGTGTATGTGTTTGTGCTTTGTGTGTGCATGTGTATGTGTGTATGTGTATATGTATGTGTGTCTGTGTGTATATGTATATATGTGTATGTATGTGTATATGTGTATATGTTTGTGTTTGTGTATGTGTTTATGTGTATATATGTGTGTATGTGTATATGTGTGTGTATATATGTATGTGTGTATGTATGTGTATATATGTGTATATATGTGTATGTGTATGTATTTATGTGTATGTGTGTATATGTATGTGTGTATGTGCATATGTATGTGTGTATGTGTATATACATATGTGTGTATGCATGTGTGCATGTGTACATATGTGTGTATGTATGTGTGTGTAGTGTGTATATGCATGTATGTATGTTGGCTGTATCACTCTGTCATCCCAGACGTTTCATGACTTCCTGTTACCTTCAGGACAGTCCCCACTGCTGTTCTCTAAAGCTCTCGCTCCTTAGCCCATGTATCCGCTGCTCCCCCAGGGAAGCCCTAGCTCCTGCTCACTGCTCTTGGCCATCATGGCAGATTCCTGTTCTCCCCAGGGCTCCCTCGCTCCTTGCCCTGGGGGCTGTAGGAAGAGCCCATCCATCTTCTCTGGCAGGCTGTTCCTCATACAGCTCTGGGCTTTGTTTCTCTGAGCTCCTCAGTCCGTTCACTCATCACGACCTGGGATGCCTGTCTGTATGGTGAATGTCTTGTGAAGTGGAAGTTGGGGCCAACAATCCTTCCTTGACATCTCTGCATCTCTAAGTCCCACATAACCCTCAGCGTTTCAGCTCAGAGCCCATAATGGGGATTTAATTAGCATTTGCTGAAAGACCTTGGACAAGTATTAACAACCTGCCAGTACTTAGAATTCATGTTATTTAACCCAAAGCACTGCGATCTGTTCAGCGTTACAGCAGTTTGTACTTAGGTGAATAAGGGGAATGGTAATGTAGCTTTTCGAAGATAAATCTCATAGATACAGGTGTCTTAAACAGGAATGTAGTGTGTAACCACATGGCTCCAACTACAGTTCAGAATGAGTTAATATGCAGGTGTGGGGAGGGAAAACTGTAGGGAATTAAATCCCACAGCCCTGGCTAGCACTGTCCCCATGGTTTAGTGAAGATAAATCCTCACAGATACAGGTGTCCTAAACAGGAATGTAGTGTGTAACCACATGGCTCCAACTACAGTTCAGAATGGGTTAATATGCAGGTGTGGGGAGGGGAAGCTGTAGGGAATTAAATCCCACAGCCCTGGCTAGCACTGTCCCCATGGTTTAGATTTATAAAGTTAACCCTGGATCTCCCAGAGAGGCACCTCTGTGATGATGTCCACCAGGGGTGGAATGCGGACTGGGGTGTATCCTTTCTTTTGAGATTTCTGCTTACAGTACCCCAGCGTCTGGAACACCCATCCCCACAGGCCACAGTATCCAGATCCAGCTCTCGGATTCGCATCTCTGGCTCTAAGCGGCCACGCCTACCTCACCAGGTGCCGTTCTCTTGTTAACAGATTGGCTATTGGAATGAAGATGACAAATTTGTCCCGGCAGCCACGGATGCTCAGGCTGGAGGGGACAACTCGAGCGTTCAGAACAGAACCTACATCGTCACTACCATCCTTGTGAGTACACTCCATCAGGGCTGTGTTGAGATCTAGCCAGACCTGCCCAAGAGTTGGCCACTGAGAACAGAAGTCACCAAGACTATGCCGTACATGGAGCAGTGAAGCCAGTCATGGCAACACATGCATACTTGTCATCCCAACCCTCAGGAGGCAGAGGAAGAGGAGGGCAGAGTTCCAGGTCAGCCTGGGATATATAGGGAGGCCATTTCAATAAAATAATAATAATAAAATAGTAATATAATGCCACAAAAAGGGCTTCAAAAAAGGAATGCCTTGTGGGTGGGCAGTTCAGGGTTTTCACTCGATTCTCCAGGATTCGCTCTCTTGCTCTGTGTCCTGGGGTGAACAGCCTAAAGTTCTTTTTAGTTGCTTTCTCCATCTATGAAACCCACGAGTGACCTTAAATTGTGCTGCCTCCCGCATGTCCTCTCCCTCGGTAGAAGCCATCTTCCCCTTAAATTCAACATAAGTACTCAGAGGGAGAGGCTACTGGTGAGTAATCTGGAGCCTATGCGAGGTCTAGTTTCTCCTCATTCAGAGATATCTAAAAAAAAAAATTATACGCACAGATACATGTGTGCTGTCAAAAGAACATAGTTAATCATATGCTCTTGCATGTATTTATATGTAAACAAGAACATAATTTGTATGTGTATACATATCCATAGCATAATACATATAAACACATATGTGTACACAACTCCATAATTTGAAAAGTTGCATAGCATGTCTCAACAGTAAAATATTCTTATTTTAACAGCATTTCTTCCTTTTCCCAAGAAGCTTATAGCCAGGTTGGGGACAGAAATTCACAGAACACTATTAAGGGCTAGAGAGACTTCTCAGTGTTGACCCATGTCAGAAGTGTTCTCCTCTGGCATGCCGAATGCTCCCTGCCCACCAGTGAACCCGTGACCCGTATCCTCTGTCCCGTCTCTCCCAGGAAGACCCTTACGTGATGCTGAAGAAGAATGCCAACCAGTTTGAGGGTAACGACCGCTACGAGGGTTACTGCGTAGAGCTGGCGGCCGAGATCGCCAAGCACGTGGGCTACTCCTACCGCCTGGAGATCGTCAGCGACGGCAAATATGGAGCCCGGGATCCGGACACAAAGGCCTGGAATGGCATGGTGGGAGAACTGGTCTATGGGGTAAGCACCCTCCCCCATCTCCCAGGTCAGAGGAGGGGCTTGGACAGAAAACCATTTACCAGCTGCGTGGTTCTGCCCATAAGTAGACTGCACAGTAGACTAGCACTGCTGAATAGAGAAGTCATCAACTCCGGTTTCTGATCCTAACTCACTGAGCCCAGCTCGGTGTCTCTTACCTCAGAACAGGTGACAGTATGTGACACTATTGCTCAAAGATCAGCTCTCCCAAGGCAGACTGCCAGCGCTAACCAATTCAAGTCCCCTGTGGCTCTTCAGTGTGCATATCTCCTCTGGCACTAGAGCACCTGCATCCATGTCTCCTCTGGGACTAGAGCACATGCATCCAGCCTGGCTGTCTGGTCACTTTTTCCTGCGGTCCCTCTCCTGTGGCTTCCTCCTCACTCTCTGTTCCCTAGAAGCCCTGCCTGCCACCCTCCATCTCAAACTCCTCTTCCAAGACCTGTATTGAGTATGACTTTTCCAAGGTCTCTCTTCACCCTCCCCAGGACAGGTATGACATCCATTTGAAAGGTCAATCTCGGCTCCCCTTGCGGCTTGCTCTGCCTTGCGTACTGGTCATCTGTGTGACCTGGTAGACCTGCTCCCTCTGAACAGCACTCACCACACTTGAAATAATTCCCTACTGTAAAAGCTTCAATAAATCGAAGCAGCCTTGAGCAGGCACAGAGAGTCATTGAGAAGCCAGAAATTCCTGGCACTGGGGTTTAGCAGGGGACAAAGGGAGGAGAGTTCAGAGCATTGGGTATGGGAGGCGAAATTATGTGGGTCACGTGAGAGCTAGTGGGTTTTCTTGTCCTTCAGAAGGGTGCAGGATTGGAAGCTAGCCATACTGAAATAGAGGGTTGGGACTTCCAGAGCTTTCTAAAGCACAAGGGATGGGGGTCAAGTAAACAGCAAGGTGGGAATGGAGGCGTGGCTGACCTCTGGGAATGGCCAGAGATAGTTTAAACAACAAGTGACAAGTGCGGGTTGGTTCCACTAGCTGGGAGGGGGTGACGGCTCCTGAGAACAGCAGTGCTGTTGGAACTTCCCATAAAGTGCCTGGATGGCCTGGAAGAAGCCTTGAATCCATCCACAACACTGCATAAACTGGACAGAGTGGTGCATGCGTCATCCCAGCACTCGAAGGTGGATGGACGAGAGTCACAGCGGAAGTCTTCCCTGGAGAGTTCAAGAACAGCCTAGGCTAGAGACCCTCAAAGAAAACAACAAAAAGCCACAAAAGAATCTGCCACCATGTGCAGGAAAGGACAGGGACGCTTCCCTCCCAGACCCTGAGAACTCCAGCCGCGTCTTTGAGGTGAAGTCTGCCCGACTTAGGTTGGCATTCAGTGCCTGTCAGGAGAAGTAACCGTTTGGAAGGATGGTGCCTCGTGCTGCCGCTTGTCAGGACAGGGACAGTCAGGATGGCCTCCAAGTCACATGACCAAAGAAGAAAGAGATGTCAGAAGAGGTGACTCCTTAGTTAAGTGTCTTTCAGGGAGACTAAAGATGGTGAACAGGTTGAGGGATGGCATCTGTGTCTTCCTTTCCATCACTGCCTCTCACTTTGGAAACTCCATTGAGGAACTAAAGACGTGGAGGGGTTGTGCTACATCTGGAGGCTGGTCTCCATGGGAACTTCCTCCAAGTTCTTAAGGTCATTGTCATGGTAACTGCTGTGAACTTGTCACCCTCCCAGAGTTCCCTTTCCCCTTCCCTCCATAATTCAGTTCCTTCCTCAAAAAGCCTGTACCCTGGGAGAGTGGGGTGTGACCATCCCACGGGCACATCCACACATCACAGCACAGTGGCTCATCAGTGCTCCAAAGACCCCATCACCTCCGCATGCCTCCTGTCGGGCCTGAACACTTCCCTTCACTACACCGGCTCTCTACCCAGTGAGAACTCATCCCCAGAGTCTCTGCAGTGGCCCAGCCAGCTGTTCACCTTTATTTTTAGTTCATCTTTTCCCCTTTCCATCCCCCTAAGAAATAACAGAGAGGTTCATGAAATGCCTCTCAACCACAGACCACCAGAGAGGGCAGGGTAAGGCCTTTTAGAGGCTCCGATGTAAGAATGTCTGTCCTAGGACCCGCAGGCCTCTCTCCTCTCTCCGACCCTCAGGCCTCTCTCTCCAGGGTAAGTCAATCGAGCCCCCAGCCTCATTCACCCTCCTATCTCCCCCACCCGTCACTCCTCCTGCTTATCTTGGAGCCCCAGACACCTGGGGAACCACCACTGCTTCTTCCTGATCCTGTGCATCCAGACCAACGCAGTTCTTTCTCAGGTCCCCAGGAGCACACTGGGCCTGGCCCTGCCCTCACCTCCCTCTGCTTCCCTGGGCCTGCAGGGTCCACCAGCCTTTTTCCTGGATGCTGGGGCTAACCTTTCCTCTTCCTGATCCTTTGCATCCAGACCAACGCAGTTCTTTCTCAGGTCCCCAGGAGCACACTGGGCCTGGGCCTGCCCTCACCTCCCTCTGCTTCCCTGGGCCTGCAGGGTCCACCAGCCTCTTTCCTGGATGCTGGGGCTAACCTTTCCTCTTCCTGATCCTTTGCATCCAGACCAACCCAGCTCCTCAGTGTAGTCTCCAGGAGCCCTTGGGGCCGCTTCCGGCCCCATCTTCCTTTGCATCTCTGGGTGGGATGGCCACCAGCTGCCCTAGACCAGCATCTTTCCTGGGCCAGGCTCCCAGGGAGTCCATCCCCCAAATTCCTGAGGCCAAAGTCTTTCCTGGAGGGATCCAGACCTTAGGAGAAAGCCCAAGAGCATCTAATCCTCATCTGACTTGGGCCTCTGTGGGGCCCTGAAGACAAAAGCAATCTGGCCACTCCAATATAAAATCAAAAGAGAGAACCGGAAGCTTAGAGGAACCAGCTTTTCATGCCCAAAAAGTAAACCACAAAGACAGATAAAATTTACAAAAAGAAGCAGACCTAAACTTGAAGGCCTAAGTCTCACACAAGAATAAGAAACTACAAAAGAAATTCACATGTCAAAATCACAGAGAAAAAATAATATGAAAAACCAAAATAACATATCCCCACCAAATATCAATAGTCCTCT